ACTGGAGGTGATCGCCCAGGAGTTCCAACGCCACGTCGACTACTGTGAGTCTCGGACGGAACTCTGCAAGGGCTGCACTAAGTATGTTCAGTTCAAACACCTTCAGTTCCACTACGAGTATGATCACAAATACCTCACGCCCGAGGAGAAGGGTGAGTATAAAGACGTTATTAATGGTTGTTAGTGGTGTTTTTTTAAGTCCGAAATGCTATGGTTAACTATGAAAATGCTATGTTGTTTGTTAATATGACTTTCAAGTGGGAAATACTATGCTGGTTGTTAATGATACTCTCAAATGGGAAATGCTGTTTAACTATGAAAATGCTATGCTGTTTGTTAACGGTACCTTCAAATGGATAATGCTATACAAATAGGAATCGATATACATATATACAATTTATAGGACTTGAAGAAACACATCGTCGACATGGTAACCATAAACTTTTAAGCTTATACTTATGTACGTGCTAAGAACAGTGACTGAAATTCAGGTCCACCTCAACGAGATCCTAACTTCACCATATCTCTCAATACGAGACTGATTCTGAGCTAAGTATTCTCTCTTCACATCAGACCAGGAAAACAGTTCTGACGAAGAGGGGTCGGAGTGCCCCATTTGCCTGGGCCCCGTGACCCTGCCCCTCGTGCTAGAGTGCGGCCACACCTTCTGCATGGTGTGCGTGAAGGGCATCGCCAACACCACCAAGAACTGCGCCATCTGTAGGAGAGACATTCCTCGAGATATGCTCATGGATATTAGGTGAGTCTGTTTTTGTGTGTTTGGTTTAATGAAACAGGTGGATGCACATGCACATAAATACGTGCAAATAAAGAGGCCCACATTCAAGCAAACACATAAACACAACCCCCACCCCACACACACACGCACACAGACACACACAGACACACACACACACACACACAAACACACACACACAGACAAACACACACAAACGCACACACACACACACACACACACACACACACACACACACACACACACACACACACACACACACACCTTCCATCTTCTCTCTACCCCTCTCCTTTCCCACCCTGCTTTATCATCAGTCCCTCACTGACTCATCCTTCCCATCCACAGATTCTGTCGCGAGGAAGACATTATTAAGAACTACGTCAATAAACCTCGAGAGAAGAAAACCCAGCGAAGTCACAGCGTCCCGAGTAGGACTTCATCCTCATTCAGCAGTTCCTCACGACGCGTTGCTCGAACCACACAGGACTACGATGGTGAGTGTGGTAGTGTGGTGAGTGTGGTGAGTGTGGTAGTGTGGTGAGTGTGGTGCGCTTGGGATGGGAGACTCGTTTGTTAATGTTTGTAAGTGTCAATCAATGAATGGATGGGGAGAGAAGAGAATATAGATAGATAGATGGATGGATAGATAGGTGGATAGGTAGGTCGATAGATAGATAGATGGATGAATAGATAAATGAATGTTAGAGAGAGAGAGAGAGAGAGAGAGAGAGAGAGAGAGAGAGAGAGAGAGAGAAACAGAGAGAGGCAGAAACAGAGAGAGATAGAGAGAAACAGATAGAGAAAAAAAACTGAGAGAGAGAGAAAACAAAGAGAGAGAGAGAGAGAGAGAGAGAGAGAGAGAGAGAGAAACAGAGAGATAAGGTAGATAGGGAGAGACAGTGAGAGAAACTAAAAGAGAGAGAGAAAGAGAGAGAGAAAGAGAAAGAGAAATAAATGAAACGAAAGAGAAAGAGAAGTAGAGAGAAAGAGAGAGAAGAAAACAGAGCGAGCGAAAGATTTAATCCCCGCTGACGCCGCCTCGCTCTCTCCCCCCCCAGACATGGTGTCCGCCCTCCTGTCGAGTCGCACGTCCTCCACCTCCTACAGGTACCAGCGCCCCGCCAACACGCACACGCCTCCGTCCTACACTCCTTACTCCGGCTCCGAGTCATGCAAGGACTCCTGCAAGGACACAGACTCCAAGGACGACGACTGCTGCTGTTCCTCGTCCAAGTCCACCTCGTCGTCCTCGTCCACCTCCGCCACCGCCACGTCCACCTCCACCACGGCGTCCACAGCGCGCACCACCTCCACCTCCACCACCAGCTCTGTGTCTAAGCCTCCGCCAGCCTCCTCCGTGTCGACCTCCAGTTCCATCTCCTCCGAAACCTCGAGGTCCACCTCGGTTTCGTCGTCGAGTACCAGCAAAACGTCCTCCTCCGTGAGCACCCGGTCCGTGGCCAGCTCCTCATCTACCTCCGCGACAACTACCTCCTCCTCCGAATCCTCGTCCTCAACCACGGCCTCGAGCTCTTCTTACTCGTCGTACTCCAACGGTGCTCGTCCTCGGAGGCCGACCTCTCTCGCCCTTGAGACGACGGCGGTCATGTCTTCCGTCTCGGCCTCCGTCTCGTCCTCATCAAGTTCCTCTCGTTCAAGCGGTAAGATACGACAAAGGGCGAAAACGCAGACCTTTCAGTTCAAACTAAACAAATACGTGATCTTATTTCCGTCTCTCTCTCTCCTCGTCTCACCTCTCCTTTCCCCCGCGCAGGCTCTCGCGACGTCGAGCCGCCAGCGAACGCAACTCAAGAACAGTACGACAGGTGGCTTGCCTTCCAGCTTGCCAAGGCCGAGGACGATCTGCCTCCTTCAGAGTTCAACAAGAAGCACCGACCGACCTTCAGGAGGTCCCTCTCCATGCCAGAGCGTGCGGTAGGTGTCCACTTCAAGCCGTCCTTCCGATCATTCTTTTGCATGCATTTTGACGCCTCAATCGGGCTTTAGACAATAGGATCGCGTTGACTTGTTTGTCTCTCTCGTTCCGCAGCAGGACAGCTCTTCCGACAGCAGTGACTCGGAGGATTCTGATTCGCCAAGGTCTCGCAGGAGCTCCCGGCGTCCCCCGGCGTCTCCTCGCACTGTCACAAACTCGTCGTCGTCGTCGTCGTCCTCTTCTTCCAGCAGGAGTACCCCCATCAGCAAATCCTCGAGCGATTCTAACGCCTCCAGCAGCACCAGCAACAGCGGCAGCGCCCTCAGCACAGGCGCTCGGCCCAAGAATGCCGGCCTCAAGAAGAGAGTGTCCTTCAAGGAAGACGGAGTAAGTATCCCTCTCATGACAGGCCCGCCTGTAGTCATGGGAACATGCTCTAATAATGATCATGATGGTACAAGCGCACAAATCAACTTTTTTTTCCCTTTCAGCCCGCCATTCGTCGCGAGGCGCCCGTGATGCTGCCGTGCGAGTTCTGCGACGAGATGTTCGCCGAGCGCGACCTCATGCGGCACCAGACCAGCTGCGAACAGAACGAGACGCAGCTTCCTCGTGCCTCGCGCATCGCCCAGCGCGCGGCGGCAGCGGCAGCTGCAGCCGCCATGAGCTCCAGCACGTCCACGACCTCCTCCTCCGGAATCACGACCACCACCTCCTCGAACACTACCGTTGAGACCTCCTCCTCCTCGATCCAGTCCAGGATCCAGGGCACAGCCTCGTCCTCGCCGAGAAGGAGTCCCGCCCCCACGCCCCCCACCCCCGGCAGGACCCCGACGCCGGTGTGCGCGCCGCCCAGGAAAGCCACGGCGCCCTCCAAGAGCCCCGCGCCCGTCCCGCCTAGGAGTCAGTCGTCTGGCTCCTCGAGGAGAAGTCCCACTCCTGCCTCCCCGGGCCCCTCAAGGAGCTATTCCTCAGGATGGAGGAGTTCGAGGGACACGTCTCGCGGCAGCCCGGTGAGCACGCCCACCAGTCCTCCGCCCAGCTGTCCGCCCTCGATCAGCCCGCCGCCCGTCAGCCCGCCGCCCACCACCACCATCACCATCGTCGACCAGAAGCCGTCGGTCGTGGTGTCCCCGAGCCAGAGCGCGGGCAGCAACAGGCCCTTCAGCGTCAGCCCGGCGCCCTCGAGTTCGACGAGCAACAGCTCCGTCAGCAGCGGATCCATGAGCAGTAGTTCCGTCTCAACCACGCCCTCCACCAGCAGTTCGGCCTCGCCCGTGCCGGCCATCAGTGCCACGCCCGAGCTGGCACCCCCGGACACCCCGACGACTGACCTCGAGTACGACTACGAGGACGAGGACGGCCCCTTCATGCGGCCAAGACGCGGCCGCCTCCTGTCCTCAGCCATCTTCTCGTGGCGCAGCATCTCGGGCAGCAGAAGGGGGTACACGCGCTCCAACACAGCCCCTCTGGAAGACACTGGCGCTGACGAAGACACGACGCAGGTGCAGCCAGTCATCACCAGCCGCTCGGCGACACAGCTGCCCGCACACCGCCCGAGTCCAGATATCGAGACCGCAGGCTCGTCGCAGCCTTCCTCTTCCTCCCCGCAGCCAACCACAGCGTCACAGAAAACCACGTCGCCGCCGCCCTCCGCCCCCGACACACAGACGAAGCCGCCGTCCGCGTCCCCTCAGCCGGCGCAAGAGCACGCGGATACCGTCTTCATCAAGAACCCGCACAAGTACCGGGCTCCTCCTCCCCCGCAGACGCCGCCCAACCTGCCCAACGTGCCCAACCTGCAGCAGAAGGTGTCCCCTTCGCCCACCGCCAACATCAACGGCTACATCAAGAGTCCGACGCCGTGGGAGAAGGCCTTCATGAGCAACAAGGCCACCAGCCCGCCGCCCGCGACCTCGCCCACGCCCGCGCAGGAGAAGACGCTGGCCAACGGATACGTGAACGGCGTCATCAAGTTCGACAGCAAGACCATGATGAACGGCCACATGTCCAAGGAGATCGAGGAGTTAATACCCTGTGAATTCTGCAAACAGGTGTTCTCTCCCGATAAGTTTCGAAGCCATCAGGTAAAGCATAGTTTCGTCTGTAATGTGTGTGTGTGTGTGTATGTGTGTATGTGTGTGTGTGCGTGTGTGCGTATTTGTGTGCAGACATAGACATAGAGATATAGATAGACAAAGCCTAGGAGAGATTCAAACGCTACATTTTCCTTATCAATTACCTTATTGATTAAGAGGCTTCACAACTCTTACTCATGACGCAAAGCCAGTCCTCGCAGATGACTCACGTCGCGCCTCGCCTTCCAGACCATGTGTGAGGCCGCGCTCCAGCCGCCCCCCCTTCGGAGCACCGCGCCCTTGGAGCAGCCCGCCACGCCGAAGGGCAGGACCTCAGCCCCAGCGCGCCACAACAAGGGACCTGCGCCGTCTCCGCCGGAGTCCTTCAGCAAGGACGACGACGCCGCCGGGGACGTCTATGAGGCGCAGCGCATCAGGCGAATGGAGAGGTAGGGGGAGGGCCGAGGGAGGGAGGCGGGGGGGACGGGGGAAAGGCCGAGGGAGGGAGGCGGGGGGAAGGGGGGAAGGACCGAGGGAGGGAGGCGGGGGGGAGGGAGAGTGGGGAGGAGGATGGGGGTTTAAAGAAGGGGAGTAGGGAGGGAGAGGGTAGGCAGAGTGTTTGCAAGGAAGAGGGAAAGGGGGAAAAGAGGGAGGCAGAGGGTTTAAGAAAAAAGGGAGAGAAGGAAGAAAAACGGCCGGGGAACATCTCGAATTTCGCGAACAGGGAAATCCTTAGCCTTCCCCCTACATGCATATTGTTCAGCTGGGAGTCTACATAACCCCTCATGTCAATGTTAAGATAAGTGGAGACGAGGCACCGAGTCCTTTACGCAGGGAAATCGGCTGCCAGCCACACAAACGGACCAGTCGTGCTTGACATGTCCCTCTCCCTCCCGCCGCAGGTCGCAGTCCGTCAAGGACGACCGCTCGTCCTTCAGCGACGGCATCCGCGTGTCCCGTCGTCTCGAGCGTGCCTCTAGCATCAAGGAGTCGAGGACCTTCTACGGCGACAACGCCAGCCTCTCCCGCCGCTGGGGATCTCGAGAGGTCGTGCACAGCAACAGTATGGAGTCCTCGGCGTCTCTCGCGTCCGGCGGCTGGGGCGGCAGCACCAGTAACCTCTTCAGCTCCTACGCAGGAGGACACAGCTGGACACAACACATCAACAGCGTGCGCAGTGATGTGAGGTCGCTGAACGCCGCTGCGAACTGCGCGTCTTCCTCCGGGCCATATTACGGTGGGTGCAAGAGGCTGATGCTTTCACACGCACACATGCACACACATCCTCTCCCTCTCCCTCCCTCTCTCTCTCTCTCTCTCTCTCTCTCTCTCTCTCTCTCCCTCTCTCTCTCCCTCCCTCGCATACACGCCTATCCACACACGTAGACACGCATTTGCTTTACTTTAGTTTGGTTGCGGTGCCATGTAGTGAAACCTTAACTCAAAAAATTGACGAATACTTTAAACCAAAAGCAGTAGAAACTCTTTAGTCTTTCTATAAAGCTTCCTTTTTGTGTTTCTATGTAGTCTGTTTTTCTTCATATAATGAGATTTCCCAAGCATCTAAAAACACGCACACACGCACACAGCCACTCTCACACTAGACAGCTCCAAGATCAAAGAACACACTATACACAAAAAGATTCATTAAAAAGGCGAGACAATTCGTTTCGAAGTCCTCCTGGATCTGACCTTCAGATCAAACACCTGAAGACCTGAAGATATCTGAAGATGAAGCTCTGGTAGGATTTCGAAACGTTTGTCTCCCTTTTTTCCCCACTTTTTGAATAAATCTTGTTTGGGTATAGTGTAGTTATCTGCCTTAGTAGCGACACGGTAGATTAATTTACGATCCGACGTCACAGCTGTTGAGAATCAGCGACAAAACTTCTCTCAAAACATAATACACGTGAGACACCATAACGACCTCACCATGACACGAAAAGGGGGAGAAAGGGAAGAGGGAAGGAGGGAAAAGGAGGGAAAATGAGGGAAGGAGGGAAAAGCAATGGAGGAGAAGGAGGAGAGGGAAGGAGAGAGGGGGAGGGGGTGGGAGCTGTGTGTGAACTCTGACCTGCTTCTCTTCCAGATAACGGAGGTGACTCAGATAACGGAGGTGAACTAGATTCAGAGATGTGTGGTGTAGATAGAGGTAGAACGCGATACAACAATACCCTACTGATGGAGGTTCGGGCGGCGCTAAACAAGAATACTTTCTCCCACGTCGCTAATGAGTCTGGTAATGAGTTCTGTGAGAGAAACCTTGATGAATGATCCTCATGATGATGATGATGAAGTGTCCCCATCTCCCTCCCTCCCCCCCACTTCAACACCCCCCCGCCCAAACTCCCCCCCCCCTCTCTTAGCTACACATTATCCACACTCGATTAATTAAAAATACGCTGACCCCCGTTTTTTAGCCACCCCTCCATCTCTCATCAAAAAAAAGAAAAAAAGACGTAAGAGGAAAAATATATATATATATATATAAGACTACCTACCGACCCCCACCCCCACCCACCACCACTTCCCCCCCCCAACTCTACTGAAAGTTGCTTCATGTTGCAAGCCGGTCCGAAGCAATCCAGACACGGGGTCATTTCACACGCATATCCTCCCCACCGTTTCTTCCGATCTTAGATACTAACACTTTTGCTAAGATCTGTCACGCTCCAAAACCCGTAAAAAAATGCAATGAATGCAATCTTACAGCAAGATTAGAACTGGGATTAACAGCCCCAAAGGTGCATGTTTATTCAAGGCTTTTTGTAACTAATGTATGGATTGATTTTGATATTAGATGCATCCTGGATGAATAGACACACATCCCACATGCACAAATGCATGTATAAATGGAAACATACAATCATGCACACAGACACGTGCACACACATACACCGACCCACTCATCCTCACTCACACACACACACACACACACACACACACACACACACACACACACACACACACACACACACACACACACACACACACACACACACACACACACACACACACTAGCACACACACACACACTAGCTAGATAACTATTTTTCTATTTATAACTTTCTATCTTGTTATCTAGCAAGTGTGTATTTTTCTGTCTCGAGAGGCAATATATAATATATATATATATATATATATATATATATATATATATATATATATATATATATAAACAGGAAGATAGACAGACAGATAGACAGACAGATAAGTAATTTAGATAGATAGACAGATAGGAAAATACAGAAAGATTTACATACATAATACAAATTGTTACAAATTGTGTTCGGTGCCTTCACTTATAAATGATACACCGTGTAGTCAACATTTGTTGAGCTGGAAATATCAAATCCTTTGTCTTAACGTCAAATGAAGCTGAAAATTCAACACAGGCTGATGATTTTTACACACATCTCTGAAGCAGCACTATGAACAGAAGACTTTATTGAATATCATTGAATATTCATTATAATACGTTTTTTTCCCCAGCTGACCCAATGAAATGAAATGACCTGATAAAAGTTCTGTAGTTTTTTGTTTTTTTTTTAACAATGAAGGTCGTGTGATTATATTTTTACGTTATATCCCACGTCTAATCAAGTGTACATAATAATTACACTAGTTCATTACTCAGCGTGCTATCTCAACACGGCAAAAAAATCTTAAAGAGGCTTTTAACCAAAAACAACTATCGCATTTTTGTAATATTCACTGAGTATCATTTCTTCAACAGGAACAAGGTACAGAGAACGAAGCTCCAGTAGACCGCGGCCAGCATCCATGTACACAAGCAGGTTTGTGTTTTGATATCACACTGTTCCTCGTATTGAATAACAGAGAGCGATAAGCATGTCTTTATTAGTAGGTTATGACCCCATATAGTACCCTTGGACACTTGTACTAGGTTCAAAGCCAACCACACTCACGTTCGCTGTTCTGTGAGTATGTCTTTATTAGTAGGTTATGGCCACGTAGAGTAAGCAATGGACGCTGGTACAAGATCGAATCACACACACGTACGACCATGCTGATAATCGCTTGTCTTTTATTTCGACACAGTGGTACCTGGGGATCCATGTTTGACCTCTCCTCCCCTACCAGGTCCTTCAACATTTCCGACGCCTTCTCCAGCGCTTCCTTGGCATCGAAGGTAAGAAGCGGTTCTATTTGATTCCCTTTTTTTTTAGTTAAAGGTGTCGGAGCTTTCGACTCCCGGTTCGCTCGAGTCTCACGAACCGCGAGAAGTGAATGCTTTCGAGACGCTGTTTATTTTATTTATTTAACTATTTATTTGTTAATGCTTTGGCTAAAGCGCTTGGTAATTCCTCCCTCCGCTGCTGTCTGTGATTTATATTGCTTTTAATCTGCTTATTTCTTTTAGAGAGAATTTTGCTTCTATTTTATTTTATTTTCCGTTGAGCTTTTACTGAGCTTTTGCTTCGTAGAGTAATCCTTTCCCCAAGCTTTATTCTCGTTTCCTCACTTATTCTCCTTTAGCTTCTTTATTATTTCTATTAGGAGTAGGTAAACACTCGCGTTTTTATTTTCTGGTAGCTTAGAAAAGAATGAGGAATGGGTTTGTAGTTTAACAGAAGGATATTCAAGAAAATAATGATAATAATGGGTATAATTAATTCAAAATGAAAGATAATATCGTTATCAATCTATCGTTGTTGATGATGATGATGATAATGAAGATGGTGATGAATAACAAATAAGATAAAATTTGAGTTTAATAATGTTTATTATGATCATCGTGAGAAAAATAATCATAAGAAATTAGCCGTAATGATTTCAGTAATGACATTGATAATAGAAATGATGACACGACTCATAATGGAAATAATAACAGTAGCGAGAACAAAAGTAATAAAGATGATGATAATAGTAGCCATAGTGATGATGGTGACAGGGTAATAATAACCATTATAATGATGATAATAATCATAATAACCATGATAATAATAATTATAGTACTAATGATAACAATAATCATAATAATCATGATAATAATAATTATATTAGTAATGATAATAATAACTATTATCACTATTGTAATGCTACTGATAATAATATTAATAATAATGACAATAATGATAATAATGATATAATAATAATAATAATAATAATGATAATAATAATAATAATAATAATAATAATAATAATAATAATAATGATAATGATGGTGAAAATGATGATACTAATATCAATGATAATAATAATAACATTAATAGCAATAATTATAAAGATGACAATAATAATGATAATAATAATGATGATAACATTATTATGATTACACTAACAATGATGATGGAGATAAAGATACTAACACTAATTATGATGATAAAGGTTCTGCTATTCCTACTATAAGTATTATTATTTATAAAAATGATAATAATTACAATACTAATGATAATGACAATGCTAATGGTAACGATAGTAATAATAATAATAATGATACTACTATTACCACCACCACTACTACTACTACTACTACTACTACTATTAATGGTAATAAGATAATAGTAATAATGATTGTGATGAGGATAATGATAATAATAACAATAATGATAATAATAATGATACTACTACTACTACAACAACTACTACTATTACTAATGATAACAATAATATATGATTATGACGATGATAATGATGATAATGTTAATGATAGTAATACTACTAATAATAATGCTCATAATAATAACTTATAACAGTAATTATGATAACGATAGTAATAATAATTATAGTAATAATAATAATGATGATGATAATTGAATAATAATACAATAACAATAAAAAAACGGTGATAATGATGATATGATAATGGTAATTATAATCATCGTGATAATTAATGATAATGATTCTACTCTTACCGCTACTACTATATTACTACTATACTACTACTATACTGTTACTACTATACTACTACTACTATACTACTACTATACTGTTACTACTATACTGTTACTACTATACTACTTCTACTATACTACTACTATACTGTTACTACTATACTGTTACTACTATACTACTATACTGTTACTACTATTACTACTATATTACTACTACTACTACTACTCTCACTAATACAACGATTATTAATACTACTATTGCTAGTACTAATGTTAATGATAAAATTAGTTACTGTAATTATAATAATGATGATATTAATTGTAATAACGATAATAATAATGATATTAATAATAATAATAATAATGATAATAATGATAATAGTAATAATAATAATGATAATAATAATAATAATAATAATAACAATAATAATAATAATAATGATAATGATAATAATAATAATGATAATGATAATAATAATAATAATAATAATAATGATAATAAAGAATGATAGTAATAATAATGATGACGATGATGATATTAACAATTATAATGATACTACTGCTATTTTTAGCAATGATAGCGGCAATTATGATACCAATAACAGCAATATTAATAATGATGACAGTGGTAATAGCAGCAGCAGTAGCATTAGCAGGATTCATAGCAATAATGATGATAACAATGATATCAGTAACTAATGATAATAATGGTTATGATGACAATCGTAATATCAATATTAATATTTTCAGTAATATTAAAAATACTCATAATGATAGTAATAATGATAATGACTGTAATGATTCTATAATGATGATAACAACAATAATGACTAATAATGATAACGATTATAGTAGTCATGTTGCTGTTAATGATGATGATAATAATGATGATAATATAGATAATAGTTAATAATATAAATAATCATGGTAATGATAATAATAACATCAATGGTAATAATACTGATAATAATTATAATGATGATAGTAATAATAATAATATTGATATAACAATAGTAATAATAATAATGATATTAATAATAATAATGATAACAATAGTAATAATAATAATAATAATAATGATAATAATAATAATGATAATAATAATAATAATAATAATAATAATAACAACAGCAACGATAATAATAAAGATATAAATAATAATAATGATAATGATGGCAATGGTGATGATGATGACGATAACAATGATAATGACTTATCTATAATGATGATCATGATCAATGCGATAAAAATAATTAAATACTAGAATCACCATATGCTTAAGATAATAAAAAACAACAACAACAAATAAAATAAATATAATAGTGATAGCGATGACATAGTAGTGATAATGATAATGATGATGATAATAGTAATGATCATAGTTATAACAATAGTACTAACGATTAAGTGATGATGATGATAATAATAATAACAATGATGATCATGATAACAGTAATGGTGATTATAATGATAAAAAATAGTAATATTAGTAACAACAACAATGATGATGATGATGATAATAATAATAATGATAATGATAATAACGATAATAATAATGATAATAATAATAATGATAATAGTAATAGTAGTAATAGTGATAATGATAATAAAAATTATTATAATAGTAATAATGATAACAATAATGATAACAATAATAATGATAATGATAATAATAATAATAATAATAATAATAATAATAATAATAATAATAATAATAATGATAATAATAATGATAATGATAATAATGATAACAATGATAATGACAAGAACAACAGAAATAATGATATTAATAATGGTAATAATAATATTAGTAATAGTAATAAAGATGATAATAATAACAGTATCAATAACAGTAATACTAATGATGATAC